CCTTGTGCTTAGTCCCTGCAGAACCACAACAGGGAGGTGAGGTGCCACAGGGAGGTGAGGATGGCGAGAGGGGCTCCCTTGCCCCGAGCCTCTTGGTCCTCACTGGGTGGCAATGTCTGCGGGCTTGGTCCAAACACCCTTCTGCACTGTCACCTCTGTTTCTGTTGGTGATGATTGGTGTTTCTGTTGGTTTTTCTCATCCATGACACTTTTCAGAAGTGAATTAAGTTTAGTGCGAAGGACAGGGTTGGCTGGTGCAAGAGGATGCTGGGCAGGGTGTCAGCCCTTCATGTTTGGTGGCAGGTGGAGCTCTTCAGCATGGCAGATGAGCCAAAATAAAAGCTGGCGGTGAAGGACTTTGGGTACACAAAGCTTGAGATCGACCTTCTTTACTGCTTGAGTTCTGGTTTTAAGATGTTGGAGATCTGTAAAGGCAAGCTCCTTGCAAGTGTTGAATGTGTGTTGTGGGATGGTTGCCGTCTCAGTGTGGAACCATCTGTTTTGCAGCCGCGTGTGAGACTCTAAGCTGTGAGAAACAGCCAGTTGTGCCAGCCTGTGCGTGCGTACAGGGAGAAGCTGGTTTGCCAAAGCCCTGAAGAGCCAAGGACTTGCACCCTAGATCTCTGTGGGTCCAGGGATCCTCCCAGGCAAACCAACTGGGACCCACTCCTAAACGCGCTTGGGATCAGTTCCCGTTCCTGCTGAAATCTATAGGATCTTAATTCAGTTCTCATGACAACAGGCTCTAGCCCTCTTTGGGGTGGGGGCCACCCAGAAAATGTCTACTCTGATTTTGATTGTGGCTTAAAAAAAAAGTCAATTTTTAAGTCAGTCACTTTTCAGCCCTGAGATGTTCCTGCCCAATGGAAGGAACGTCTACTGCTTCCTGCTAAAAAGAAATAGTGCTGAAACTTCTCTAGAGCATAAACTTTTAAGTTTTTCAGCCAGGTCTAGTAAACAGCTGTTTTCCCTGGCTTGTGAACTGGGGGATTTCACAGGGTATGTCTTAACCAAAATTAAGTCTGTAGCCTTCCTAAATACATCTGTATCACATTCAGGTCTTCTTCTAGGCAGGACCTTTCTAAATTTAAATTATTTCCATGGATAACCTTTCGCATCACCATGAATATTCTGTGATTCTATTCAGCAAAGAGTGTGTTAATCCGTCTGGAAAATGAAAAATAGGATCTTGAAACCTGAGTTGAAATTCACTCAGCATAGAAATGCATATTTCTAGATTTCCAGGTAACAGTTACAAGAGCTGATCTAATTAACTGCTATTCTGCAGCTCTTCTAGAATCTATTTTATTTGTATAACAAATGCATATTGATTGGTGGCAAGCAAGTGCTAAAGCAAGTTCAATTGCATTTTATGTTGTGTGTGTGTGGTCAATAAGGCATAGGAAATGTGTGCTTCGCTCTGGGATATTGCAGTGGCTATGGAAGCACTAGGACGCAGGATTACCTAATGCTACTTAGCAATCAGCATCGACAGCATCAATAACGTGCCTGCTGTAATGCAGCTGTCTTAGTCACTTAGTGGGTCCTAACGAATATTTACCAGAGGATTTTTATAGTTGCTATATTACATTGCACAGGTATAATTCAAAACTGATCTATTAATAATGTATAAAATAGAAGCATAAAGCTGTTTTCTGTATAAATGCTCCACATTTCAGTTTGCTCCAGTGAGTGAATTTACCTTTAAAGAACTGAAATGTAAAACATATATGGGTCATAATTCTTCGCAACATTATTTTTTACTGTCACATACAAAAACATAAGTCTCTGGTTAAAAAATAAAAAAAGTTGGTATATTGTTATAAAAGAAATACTTAAGTCTTCTGAAATATCCTGACCAAGACTTGCTGGAACCCCGACCCAGTGTAATCTTTTATAAATGCCTCTCTGCAAACGTGCCTTTTCAAGTATCCCCGAGTATATTATTTAAATCCCAGTGGAACTTCAGAAAGCACGTGCAGGGATGAAATCCTTTTAAAGGGTAGTCTTTCGTTTGGGCAGCTTTCTGAAGAGGGAGGCCTGATCCTGCAGCATTGAAAGCCGACAGGGTTTTTGCAGAAGTCGTACGAGGCGCTTTGGTGGCAGAGAGAAAATTCCACCATTGGCATCTGGCTCTGCTCTTGGAAATAAATGCAACTCTGTCAGCTTCCTGTGGGAAAATGGGAATGGGAACGGGAGAGTGGGCACGGTCCCATGATGTCTCACGAGAGTAACCTGGAGGCAAATCTGGCCTCGGTGCACCCAAGTGTAAATGCCCAGCAGTGTAGCTGAAGCAAAGCAAATTTGATTTAGTGCTCATAACGAGATCCTTCAGCACAAGATCCTGAAAATACTTAGGTCCAGCTTTGGCATGAACAGCCCCTTTGATTTCACACGGATTTGGGGATGTAACGTTAAGTGAGTGCATTTAAGCATTTATTTTTTTTTTTTTAGTTCTTGCTGCAAGTTCTTTCCTTCAGCCACTACTGCCACTGGGAGAGTTATCATTTGGATATTACTAGGGATGTGATCTCCTTAAGATTTAAGGTTTGTGGGCATGTTAATTGAATTAAAAGATTAATATACAGTGCAAGGGACCAAGGACATAGGCGATTAATCCTGAGAAATAAAACATGGTTGAGTCACATAGAAGCACTATAGGGCAAAAAAAAAAAAAGCCCAGCACTGAAGGACCTTTGACAAGAAAGGTTGTTTTTTCCCCGACAGCCCTGTCAGCTATGGCTGTCAACAATAAAAAGAAGAAAACAAATAAATTGCAGGCCATGTGTAAGTCATAGGACCAGAATATAAATACACATGACATGGAAAGGAGTAAATAATACTGACGCTTTCTTTAGAAATGTTCTCAGGCAATACTTCCTATTCATGTCCTACTGAAACGACATGAAATATAACTTTATGGTGAAAAGTGTTAGTAATCACACAGGTTCTTGAGGGACATGACTATCCGTGTGTTGAGAGACACTCTTCCTTTACAGGACTGCGGTCTAGTGCCTTACACCAACAATGCAAATGTAAAGGAAAGCTTGGTATTTTATCTATCAGATCGTAAAAGAAATGTGTTTAACAATTGCTTCCTGAAAGGACAGTTAGGCGTTTTTCACTGCAGGTCAAGCAGTTCCCCGTGGAGCTGGAAATCTGGATGTGAACAGCACTGCCATAGTGTGGAGCGAGCAGGTGGGGATGGGGCAATGAAGGAGCCGTGCACTCCTGCAGGTATCTCCATGGTGTATTCCCACCCTTTAGCAAAGGCAACTTGCACCCAAGTCTGGCCCAAGAAGGCAAATCCCACTGGTCTGGGAAAGCAGAAACCCTCAATTTAATGGGAAGCCTTCAAAACCCTCGAAGTAAAATGAAGGGGTTAAAAAATTCAGGTTCTCACTGTAGTCACTGGGAATTTAGTAGCTATCACGTATAATCAGGAGACCACAGGTCATAGAATCATAGAATCATAGAATCATTGAGGTTGGAAGAGACCCTTGGGATCATCGAGTCCAACCATCTCCCCTACTCTACAAAGTCCTCCCCTACACCATGTCCCTCAGCACTGCATCTAAACGTCCCTTAAACACAGCCAGGGATGGTGACTCCACCCCCTCCCTGGGCAGCCTGTTCCAATGCCCGACCACTCTTTCAGTGAAAAATTCCTTCCTAATGTTCAGTCTAAACCTCCCCTGTTGGAGCTTGAAGCCGTTCCCTCTCATTCTATTGTTAATTACCTGTGAGAAGAGACCAGCCCCAACCTCTCTACAGTGTCCTTTCAAGTAGTTGTAGAGAGTGATGAGGTCTCCCCTCAGGTCCAGATCACACCTGGGCCTTTTTAAAGATGTGATATGAAGTGGCATTTTAAAAACATGTGCATGCCATCAACTCACCTGTTTTTCCAAGGCAACCCAAATACACATGGGCTCCTCCAAGCCTAGCTCCAGCCATCAACAACATCCTGTCCCCCTGCAGGCACAGTCAGGACTTCTCTCATTCCCCCATCCAGCCCCACAGGGGCACGGGGAGCCCTCACCACGCACCTGGGGACCCAGCTCCTCTTCTCCAGGCAAGGGGGGAGCTGCCAAAAAGCAGCAGTCTGGTTGCAGAGCTGAGGCTCCTGTGTCCTCCTGTGAGGTCTGCTCACTGGTCCTCCAAAAACGTGGGAGAGTTAGGCACTTGACTTGAGTGCTTAGCATCATGGGGGGACTCAGAAAACCACTTAAAGAGGTTGGGGTAGCTCCTCGGAGCAGGATTTTTCCCTCCTTACTTGGCTGGAAAATGCCTACCAGTGAATATCTGCTCCTCCTAATAAATCTCAATCTTCAGAATTAATAATATAGACAGCTAAATGAATAATAAAGTGCATAAATACTTTTCCATTACTGTTAATCTTCAGCAATTACTGCCACAGGGCTAAAATGCAGTCTCAGATTGCAGAGGAGATGTCTTCTTTGGTAAGGTGTTCACTCAAGGAGAGGTTGAAAGCTTCTGCTATAAACTCTGCTGCTTCTTATCCAACAACAGCTATGGTTACTGATTTACAACCTGCACTGACAACACAAAAACTCTGTCAGCACCCAGTGTTACATAGAATGGTGCTACATAGAAGAGTTGGGCTTGCAAGCCCAACTTTATAAGCCTTCTGCTCCTTTTTTGTAGTTAGATACATAGACAAAACCTTGAAACACATCCTAGAGGCTATTGCTGGGCTATGTCTATGTAGGTCTCATTCAAAAAGTCCCTCTGAGTTAAGTTTTTTGTGTCTCAGTGTCTGTAAAGTGACGGTTGAAGCTCTTCCCTCCTCACAAGTGCTTCCACACATACGAGGTTCTTATGTGCATGGCTGTTGACCCTACTCAAACTAATACACTTATCCCCTGTTCCTTGAGTTATGGTCCTGCTAACGAAGAAAGGTGTTTGGCTTGAAAAGAATTTATTTTTCTGTCTTTTATTTTTCTTTAATTTTGACACTTTTTACATCTCTTCCCTTGCAGGTGTGTGTGGTGTCCTTAGTGGGATTTGTTATGCTTTGTACTTCCTACCAACCTGATGAGAAGACATGTGTACAGTTCACAGTAAAGGTACTTTGACTTCTTTAAAATTTCTTTTTCTTCTCATGTCATTAAATATAATCAGAAAAGTTGATACTGGAGATATTTTTAAGACCACATGAAAAGAAGTGAAAATGCACCTGAAATGCATGAATGGTTTTCTTGTATTTTCCAGGCAGCTAGGGACTGTAGCCTATAAAGGGGAAACTCTAACTACAGATTTCAAATCAGAATAAGATACCATTTTATTTTCCATGTTTTAAGAATATCCAAGAGATTCAGATCAACAAAGCTGAAATAATTTGGGAAGTGTTCAGTGAAAGACTGAGGGTTGCTATTAAGTAGAGATATTCATAGAGAGCTGGGTAAGAAGTAAGGTGGCATAAAATGGGTCCACTTAAATCAAGTTTTAATTTTTAATGTGATGTAAGAAGCATCTCGGCTTCTTCCTAGCAGTTCCACTTCTTACCACGAAATAAGAAACTGCACGGGCACAGCCGAATTAAAAAGTGTGGATAGAAATCTCCACCTACCTGCCTTTATGGTGGGGGAGATGGAGGCTGTAGCTGAGCACCAGCTGCCATGTCTCAGTGGATGGTGCCTTGTGTCAGGGTCGGGCACTAGTGAACATCATGGAAAAGCTAAATTAAAACAAACCATGGGGACAAGCATTCTTCCACGAAGCAAATTCCCACCCAAGCATGGCAAGAGAGGTGCAGAAACCATGCACCATCTCCGGCCTCAGTCCCCAAGCCCCTGCTTCATTGATGGTGGTAAGCAACTAGAAAAGTAAGGCTGAGGAACACTTGCTCCAGATAGGGCGTTTTTAACACCATTTTTTTTCTGGGCTGTTTTTTCCTTATTATTATAATTTTCAGAGCTCTTAATATTTTGCAGACACGTAATAACCAAGAAAAATACCAACACAAGCAATGCAAAATAACAGTGATTATTAACTGAGAAAGGCAGAAAGAAATCAAATGCAAGGAGTGGCATTTCGAAACCTGGCATTCATCCTCCCTTAGAAATTAGACTCTGGTGTGTGTTTTGTGCCTCTCTCAAGCTTTTCCCGTACTTACATAAAGAAAGGGAGAAGAAGAACAATTGTCTCTGCCCTTTGATTGCCTTTACATTCTTGCCCCATCACCTTTACACCCGCAAGGAAGGGTTACAGCTGCCCAGGGAGCTGCTGGGCTGGGCAGGAGCTGCCACGCCAGGCTTTTTATTGCTTGCCCTGCAGCATTAAATTGAACTTGGCATCCAAGCAGGAAGGGAGTCGAACCTCGTGGTGGGAACAGCCCGTTGGGCTGGGCAGCTCAGATGCCTCTGCCACCCGTAGCAACACCACCCGCCCTGGCAGTCAGGAACAGGAGCCATGGCTCCCCCAAGAAAATAAACATTTGAAAGTACTCCCCGGGTGACGTAAAATGGGGTTATTCCTCATCACCTGGCAGAATTCGAGCTAAAGTCTCGCTTGAAAGACTTTCAGTTCAGTCAATAGCCTACGGACTGCTGCCTACCCAAAGCACCCTCCTCCCCAAAATCCACCTTCCCCCCATTTCCTATTGCAACATGCCACAAAACTTGATCCTTCCCAGGCTGTTCACCTCTCCTGTCCCACATCCCCACCAGGAGCCCTTGTCCCACAGTGCCTGCCCTCCCCGCTGCCCCTCCAGACAAACCACTTCTGGCTGCAGGGTACCTATTTCAACCAAAGTAGGAGCTAAGAGTGTCCTCCAGGGCTTTGATCACACAGGACTCATCTAAATCTCCAGTATCACTTCTCAGACATTCAAATGTCAGTTACAGTCTGTCTCGGAACAAAACTTGAACATTGGCTATTGGGCAAGAAGGCTGTGGATGCAAAATTACAATGGGAAGGGAAGGGAAGGGAAGGGAAGGGAAGGGAA